ATTTTGTTTCCTGCTTGTAAAAAATGCCGCAGAAACTGTGATGTTGAATACAGCTTACACGGACAGCCACTGTGGAAAAAACTCAAGTGTGTGAGTGGTTTTCTCATTTTAAGAAGTTGAAATGTCGATTGACGACAAGCCTCACTCTAGACTTCATCAACTTCCTCAGCGGACAAAACTATCAACTGATAGTGCAGTTGGAGTTTGTTGCACCAGGTCAGACTGTTAATCGTGCTTTCTCTTTAGAGGTTCTGAAAAGCTTGTATAACAGTGTGCGATAAAAAAGGTCTGATTTGTGAAAGATGAGGGACTGGTTTTGTCACCATGACAGTGCACCTGCTCATGCAGCCATCCCAGTGTGCCAATTTTTGGCAATAAACAGCATGTCTCTTTTGCCTTATGGACCTTACTCACCTGACCTCGCTCTGTGGGACTTCTTTTTGTTTCTGTGAATTATGAAGGACATCCAAAGATGATTTGACATGATTTGATGACAGAAGAGGTGAAGAAAAAAACGAGGGAGGTACTGTCCCAAATAGATAAGTTTGAAAAATGTTTCCAAGAACGGACCTGCAAAATTGACAAGTGTATTAAGTGTAATGGAGAGTACTTTGAAGGTGATAGGGTTGGTTTTGGAAAAAAAAATTAAATCCATAGCTTTTGGGGGGTGGGGAATTCCATTTCGGGGGGAAGAGGGGGGTATTTCCTTGCATACCTGCTTGCTACTGCTTCAGTCTGGGTCAATGAGGTATTCGCGCACCCATTCAGGATATTTTCTGTTATGTAGATTGGGTGGTGTCCATTTTACTTAACAACAACAACAAATAGATGTGGACTTGTCACTGTCTTTCAAATCTAAATGATTGATTAGAGGACAAAGTCTCAGAAGTAGTCCAGAAATTGGAATGATTGTCTTTCTTGGAAAGAGTAAGTTTATAATTAAAAGTGTGGTGAAAAGAAGAAATAAAACTGAAATCTTTTAATTGGAAAAATTAAGCTGAGGCAATTATTGCCTTTTATTACATTAGGAAAGGCCAACTTTTGAATGGTTTCAATTGCAAAACATCCTGTGATGGTCATTCTTTTGGGGAAGAGCCACAGTGTTCTGGAGAAATTGCCATTTGATGCATTTGCCCAAACTACTCATTGTCAAAGAATGGGAATTTGGGAACTATCGTGATCTTGGAAATAAATTAACCCAAACTAATTTTATAGAAAAGGAAATTGAGGTTTATAAGTGTATCGGGGTTACCCAACGAGACCCTTCTGGTGAGTGTCAATTGGAACTAGAGCGAAGCGTTCCCACGTTCACTGAGAAGTGTTATTTTTAACATGGGCTCCAGGTTATTTAACAGAATATGTGTGTGTGAGTTTGCTTGTGTGTATGTGTGCGTGTGTGCTTGTGTGCGTCTGTGCTTATGTGCGTGTAAATGTGTATGTGTGTGTTAGTTTGCTTTCCCAAAGTGGACAAGAACTTATTTTCAAAGTTATACTAAACAGACGTCTAACTAAAGAAAGGGATTTGTAAACAAAAAGACTAAGCTGTTGAATAAATGGATACAATCTAGTGCACTGAACCAGCTTTATGCTGAAGGCTTGATTGATAGGTGGGATGTGGTAGGTATCTTAGTTTGGTTTTTAAAACTGTCGTTTCACCTTTTGTTTGAAATAAATGAATGAGGGCTATACATTCATACTGCTTACTAAAGTCAGGAACTGAACTACAGTAAAGTTATCTTTCTGGATTATCTCTTGCTTAAAACTTTTTTCAAATGAATGATATAAATAATCTAAACAGGCACTTCATTGTATATTTCTGGGAGCAAACAAACTGCAATGTCTTTTAATAGCCAGGTAGCTATTTGACTTTTTTTCCCTGTTCCCCCATTTGAATATCAATTGATATAGAATTACTTGAAATGCTGCATATAAATTAAATATTAAAATGGAGAAACATACAAGCTAAGCTACCCATTATAATCTCTCGTTCCGCAGCCCCTACCTGAAGGACACTGTTTCATTTCGCATGTCCTGCTTTTGAAAACTGATCTCTAAGGTTCAACTCACATTGGAGCACGCGGGCAACTGCATAATTGATGGGCCTTTTGGTGTGTGCTCTCATTTTATTGAAAACTAGGAAAACAGAAGACTCGTGCGGACATTAACGTCTCTCTCTTGCTATTTCCTCCTCTCCCCCTTTGCAGATCGGGGCCCTGAAGGACTACTATCACTTTTACCATAGCAGGACGATTAAAAGGTCAATTCTCTCAAGCAGAGGGACCCACAGTTTCATTTCCATGGAGCCAAAGGTAAGAAGAACCCGCTGGGCAGGGCCAAGGGCGAGCTCGCATCTTTCATGGGTAAGATCACACTAGGAGATGATGACCGACCGGCAGGCTGGAATTTCTGGAGCGCTGTGCTGGTCTTCATTCCGTTCGCTTCCTCTTCAGGCCAGGGCAGTGACTTGATTTTTACGGATCACCATTAGCATCCCAGTTCTAGCGCCAAGGGATATTCATGGGGTTGAGTTCTTCAGGAAATAGAGAAAGAAAGAGGGAAGGAAGAAGATGGGCTTTGGGCTTTGTTTTCTGTTGACAATGTGCTGTTTTGTTTTTTTTAATTAAAAGATCATTTTATTGGGGACACCTTTCACAACTACAACTCTTGTTACAATGCACACATTGATTGCATCAGGCATGTTTGTACATTCATTGCTTTCTTTTATTTCTAAACATTTACTTTCTATTGAGCCGTTGGTACCAGCTCCTCATTTTTTTTCTGCACCTTCTCCTCCCCATCCCCCCCATTAGATTATAAATTATTGTTTATTTTCATATCTTACACCGACCGCTGTCTCCCTTCCCCCGTGCTTTCTGTTGTTCTTCCCCGTGTAGAGAGGTGTATGGTTATATGTCGATCATTGCGGTCGGTTCCCCCTTTCTCCCTATCCCTACCCTTTTGACATCACTATTCCTACTTCTGTTCCGGATTCTGTGTGTCGTGAGCCCCCATCTCTTTTCAAAACCTGTGCACATGCTCCAGTCTAGTCTGAATTGAGAAGCAGCACTGGAGTCATGATAGTGGGGGGTGAGCTTTTCTATACCTGCGCACATGCTCCAGTCTAGTCTGAATTGAGAAGCAGCACTGGGGTCATGATAGTGGGGGGTGAGGAAGCCTCAAGGAACCAGAGGAATACTGTGTGTTTCATCGATGCTTTACTGCACCCTGGTTTTAAGAAAGATTGGAGGTTCTGAGTTCCACAGAGGGAAGAAGGGTCTCTTTCAGAATCTTTTGGGGGAGGCCTTGGCAGACAATGGAATGATGCTCTTTTCACTGGCATTCAGAGAGCCAGGCCTTTGGTCTGTCAAGCACTAACCTGTGTCTGGAACTGGTGGGATAATGAGCACACATGGTAGGGGAAGCAAGCGCCTATTCTTTGGGGCTGTTGCATGGAAGCCCTCTGGGGCCTGATTTCATGTCATTCTGATGCATTGTTGTTGCTTGAAGTTCTTTGGGATTTTACAAACAACCTATCCCAGAAGGAATCTTGCAGTAGGGTTTGCAAATCCCAGGTTTCCCCACCCTGTTTTAGAAAGGGGAGGCAGTTTAGGCCCGAGACTTATCCTTAAGTAAACAAAGTAATAGCTGGCAACTAGGGTGTTTGAGGGCAAGTGAGAAAATATCTTTCCTTATTAAGTTTGCGGAAGGGACTGACTTCTGAGGGAGAATTAATTGGCCTCTCAGAGGTGTTGAGTAAACAGGAAGAGAGCGCAGCTGCCCCAGCTTGTCCCAGTTCCTCTGTGGGTTCCCTTGCTCATTATTTATTGATTAGGGGGGGGGGGGTTTCCATTATGGTTTGGGTTTGCTTTATGAGCTCATTTTCAAATACATTGTGAACAAGTCCCTACCAGTAAGCATCACACATGCCCAACGAGAGATTCCTCGAAAAGTGTATTCCAAATTAATATGCAAATCCTATTCCAATTTGGCATTCTACCCTCTTATGGGCCAGGACTTGCCTTATTTAGTTTTGCTGTCCTGGAAGGGAGGGAAAAATAAGTAAATAAAATGATAGATATCTATATATCTTGATGGCGAGATTACACACCTTGTCTCTGGTCCCCATTTTTTATGGGATAAAAGAACAGCCCCTAATCCAGCATTTCCCAATGTCGACCATGCTACCTGCTGGAACAGCCCACCCAGGCAGCAAATGCAGATGCCTGCCCTTCATCCTGGATTATGGGCTATAATATGAACGTTTTTAATTGGCAGGTTGTGCAGAGTGATGTTTTTCCTGTAAAGTGGGAAGTAGGCCAAATAGATTTGGGGACCCCTACATGGATCCCTCTGGTGACCTGTGTGGAGTTGGATTATCTTGTTCTTCATCTATTCGGAGTTGGTGTCTCTGGAAAAGCAATCTGTTTGAATGTTTTTGAGTTAGCCATGCTTTTGAAGCAAAGGCCCGTTTTTCAGCCATTAAACATGGTTTTGAAACTTTCTTGAATGTTAGCAATGAAAATGACTTCCAATTTCAGACCTCAACATTCAAGGCCATGTTGGTCTGTGACGTCAGAACAGAGTATGCCGAGGCATTGTTCTTATGACGACCGACCGGTTTACTGAAAACGGAGGGATTTCAATCCCTGATTTTACCTTGGTGTATCTTGGCCTCCGTTTCTTCCTTTTTCAGCACATCAAATGGCATCGTGTGGTCAGCCCTGGTTGGTGGGACGCCTAGTACTTCCAACACGCACCCTTTGCTCACACCGTGCAGACGAACCGAGCCATTTCAAACCAGCCCAAGACTCATGCTCCAGTCCTCCTTCTCCTCTGTTAATGAACGCCCGCCCGAGTAGAGTCTGATCTTAATCTCCAGTCAACGATTTTTTTCCTGCTTTTAAAGTTTCAAGCAGTTTTATTGGCATGGGGGTAAAGGGAGCTGCTCTCAAGGAGCCCAGGACAGATGAGCATGTTTTGAACATGATCATGCCATTCTGTTTCATGTGGTTGAACTATGGAATGATAAGGTATCTGTATTAAGTCCCAATACAATGATTTTGAAAACAAACAAACATGTTTCTTGGCACTTCATCTACATATCATCCAATCCGATAGTTCAATCATATCAAGAAGAGTTGTGTAATCTTTAGCACAGTTTTAGAGCATTTTTTTCATCCTTGTACTCATTGTTATTTATGTAAATCCCCCCCCCAACTTTTCTCACTCTCCATTCTAATGTTTCCTATGTGTCATTGTCCCCCAGCCCATTACAGACAGAAGGGCCACAGTGCTCCCACAGCGTGCCCCAATTTCTCTCACATGTCATTTGGTCTTTCATTAAGCAATTCCTAACCACCTCCTTTATACCAGATCCTTTGTTAGACTCTAGAAAACCGATTCTCAACGTGTGGGTCCCAACCCCTTTGGGGGTCGAACGACCCTTTCACAGGGGTCGCCCAACACCATGGGAAAACACATATTTCCAATGGTCTTAGGAACTGACACAACACTCCTCTATCTATCATCTCCAGGCGGGTCCGCCACATGGAGATATGCCCACATATGAGCACCCGGCGTGAAGACTGTTACCCATGCTACGCCATGCTTCAAGACGAAATTTCAGTTATTTGTAATTAGAAATAAATATTTCACAATATAGAATTACATACTGTTTTTGTGATGAATCACTATGCTTTAATTATGTTCAATTTGTAACAATGAAGATACATCCTGCATATCAGATGTTTACATTATGATCCATAACAGTAGCAACATTAGAGTTATGAAGTTGCAATGAAAATAATGTTATGGTTGGGGGTCACCAGAACACAAGGCACTGTATTAAAGGGTCGCAGCGTTGGGAAGGCTGAGAACCGCTGCTCTAGAAGTTAAGCGGAATTCACGGATGGGGCTTTCAAGGGTTTGAGGACATTCCGTTGACAGTGTTTCTCAGCGTTGGGGAAGGAAAGCAAACGGGAGGGTGGAGTTCTGCGACATCCCTCCTGAAAGAAATCTCAAGTCCACATGAATATTTTTCCTTTTAACTTTTAAGAACTTATTATTTGTAGCAAGGCTACAATAACACTAAAATACAGTTCTATGTACCCTTTGCTAGATGCTCTCCGAGGTTAACATTTTACTGTGTTTTCTCATTCTTTATCTGTATATAGGTACACAGTGTTTACACACACACACACACACACACACACACACTTATAATGCTGTGGTGGTTTCGGATGCCCTCGTAATGGCCCCGTGTGACACAGTAGAATTACTCCACAGAGGGTTCTTGGCTGTAATCTTTGCAGAAGCAGATCACAGAGCCGTTCCCAGTAAGCCATTGAGTGGGTTCCAACCACTCACCTTTGGGTTAGGAGGCAAGCACATGAGTGTTGCACTGCTAAATCTTACAGAGAATATAGCTATGCATATACGAGTTACAGGTTTTCTTCCCAAAATTTGAGAGTAGAGCGTAGACTGGGTATCTCTTTACTTCTAAATATCACACACTGTATTTAAATAATGCAATCTGTCACATCGTCGTAGTCCAATTAATGAAAATCAGATGGTCACAGTGATCTAATGTTATTTTCTAAGCGACAGACTTCAAACGTTGTCATTGTCTCTTTTCTGGGTGGGATGGCATTTCCTTGTGTCGTGTCCTCCAAAGTCCGCTTTACTCTGTAATTCTTCCTTCGGCTTTTTCATTTTCTTCCCCTGAGCTCAAATGTTTTGAAGCAGACTGGCCCTTTCTTCTGTAGAGCCTCTCTCAAGTTGGGCGTGGTGTGTCCTCATGATTCTGTTCAGGTTTGGCAAGAATACCAGAGAAGGGACGTGTGCTTCTCAGTGCGTGGTGTCCGGAAGCATGTGCCGTTGACGCATCACATTACCGATCGTGCTGACTCGGATCATCATCACCTTCTCATTACAGTGAACCCTCGTTTATCACGGTTAATCGGTTCTAGACCCTACCGTGATAAATGAAATTCCGCGAAATAGGATTCCTTATTTGTAAATCAAATATTTTCGTAGTTAGAGCATAGAGGACATGAAAAAAACACCCTTTAGTCACCATTACACTCGTATTACCCAATTTATTAAATGAAAAAGGGGAAAATACAGTAAAACATTTTGGACGTTATAATTATCATTTATTATTTATTATATTATTTATGGCATCTAGTTTACAGTATTACATATTTCACATACAGTATTATTATACATAGTTCTTACAAATACTGTAATCAATAGCCTATGAAATGACTTAAGGGATGTACTCTACAGGTGGGTCGCCGTCTTTTTCCTC